GGTAGGATGGTGGAAGACTGGGCTCTGGAGACAGGCCTGGTCGTCCTAAATCGGGGTTCTGTCCCCACGTGTGTGCGGATGCGGGGCGAGTCGGTGGTGGACATCTCGTTCGCTAGCCCCTCTCTGTCGCCGCGTGCCATTGACTGGCGTGTCATGGAGGGGGTGGAGACCTACTCCGACCACCGGTACATCCGGTTTGATGTCTCCACCCAGCCCTCGAGCACGCCAGTCCACCAGGCCCCGAGTGGTCCGCGTTGGGCGCTGAAGCAGCTGGACCGGGAGCTCCTCCTGGAAGCCTCGATCGTGCAGGCCTGGGTGTCATCACCGGACAGGCCTGCCGACGTCAATGATGAGGCAGGGTGGTTCCAGGAGGCCATGTCCGAGATATGTGACGTGGCAATGCCCCGCGTCCGGCCAGGAAGCGCCCGGCGTCAAGTGTATTGGTGGTCGCGTGAGCTGACGTCTCTGCGCGAGGCGTGTGTCGCCGCGTGGCACCTGTACACCAGGCATCGCAAGCTCCGCATTCGTCCACCGAATGCGGCAGCCATTGAGGCGGAGCTGTACGAGGGATACAGAGCGGCGAAAACCGCCCTCCGGGAGGCTGTCCTGCGGGCCCGGGATCGGGCCCGTGAGGAGATGCTGGAGACTGTTAACAGAGATCCGCACTCCGCACCTGGGCCCCCCCGCTGACGCAAAGTCTCCGGCCTCAGCTCGTGGAGGACGTGGTGAGCGCTCTGTTCCCTGCGCGACGGGAACATCCGCTCCCGCCTATGTCTCCGCCACCTGCGGTGCCGGAAGCGGACCACCAGGACGACGACGACGACATCCCGGAAGGGACCGGGGTAGACCTGAGAGTGGCGGTACGTAGGCTCAAGGCCAGGAATACCGCCCCAGGACCCGATGGCTTGCCTGGCAAAGCCTGGGTCCTGGCCTCGGAGGCTCTCAGGCCCCGACTGGAGGGGCTCCTAAGCGCGTGCTTGGAGAGAGGCCAATTCCCCGCTTCGTTGGAAGACGGGGAAGCTGGTCCTCATTCGGAAGTCGGGGCGCCCTGCGGACTCTCCGTCCGCATACCGGCCCGTGGTGCTGCTCGACGAGGTGGGCAAGCTCTTTGAAAGAGTCATTGCAAACCGCCTCGCCGAGCACCTTGCGGGGACGGGGACGGATCTTGCGGAACACCAGTTTGGTTTCCGCAAGAGGCGCTCTACGGTGGACGCCATCATGCGCGTGAGAGCCCTCACGACGGGGGATGCAGTGGCCAGAGGGGGTTGTCTTGGCGGTGTCTCTCGACATCGCCAACGCCTTCAACTCCATGCCCTGGAGCTGCATTAGGGAGGCACTCCGGTATCACCGGGTGCCGACCTATCTCCGTCGTATAGTCGGGGACTACCTGACGGACAGGGCCGTCATCTACCCCGGTCGCAAGGGTGAGTGGAACCGGCGAGAGATGTCGTGCGGTGTCCCACATGGTTCGGTTCTGGGGCCACCTCTGTGGAACATCGGTTACGACTGGGTGCTGCGCGCCGACCTCCCTACCGGCGTCAGCGTAGTTTGCTACGCTGACGACACGCTGGTACTGGCACAAGGGGGGGTCGTACGAGGCGGCGGCGGAAAATATGACACGCGGGGTTGCGATAGTCGTTGAGAGGATTCGGCAACTGGGTCTCGAGGTGGCTCTGCACAAGTCCGAGGCCATGCACTTCCATGGTACTCGGATCAGGCCACCACCGGGATCCTCAGTGATGGTAGGAGGGGTATCCATCGGCGTCGAGTCGACGCTGAAGTACCTAGGACTCGTCCTCGACGGCCGATGGAACTTCGTTGAGCACTTCCGACGTTTGGCTCCCAAACTGGAACGGACCGGGGCTGCCTTCAGGCGGCTCCTGCCGAACCTGGGAGGGCCAAACGCCTCCTGCCGGAGGCTCTACGCGGGGATCGTGCGGTCCATGGCCCTTTACGGGGCCCCGGTGTGGGCACGTGGTTTGGCGCGGCTTGCCGTCCACCACCTGAACGCGCCCCAAAGGGTGATTGCCGTGAAAATGGTTCGCGGCTACCGCACGATCTCCCGCGAGGCGGCGAGCCTCCTTGCCGGATTGCCGCCATGGGATCTGGAGGCGATAGTCCTCGCGCGCCTGCACGAATGGCGTGCGGAGGCACAGTGCCGTGGGGAAACCCCGCTGCCGCGGCAAGTTGTCGCGCAGCGGACAGACTTCCGGCACGATCTCATGGCGACATGGAGACAGCGACTGTCGCAACCCCGTGCTGGGCACGCCACTATAGCGGCGATAAGACCCCTCTTTGAGGAGTGGCTTGAGAGACGCCACGGCATCCTCACCTTCCGCCTGACGCAGGTCCTCACCAGACACGGTGTGTTTGGGAGGTTCCTGCACCGAATCGGGCGGGAGGAAACGCCCGGGTGCTCCCACTGCGAGGATGGACCGGAGGACACGGTGGAACACACCGTGGAGGTGTGCCCTGCTTGGGCGGAGCACCGCCGTGTCCTCGTAGCGGCGATAGGCGGCGGCGAACTCTCGCGTCCGGCCCTGGTCGAAGCCATGGTCCCGAGCGAGACGGAATGGGATGCCGTCACCACCTTCTGCGAAGCAGTGATGCTAGCGAAGGAGGTAGCGGAGCGGGAGAAGGAGAGAGCAGCAGCTTTCCTCCCCCGGCCGCCGCGGGAGACGCCCCGGGCGTCGGGGGCTACGTCGTGGCCCCCGGCCACCGTAGGCGCGGGCCTGTGGACGGCGAGCAATGGGTAGCTCGTCGTCCGTCCGTCTGTGACGACAGGCCGTGTCGACGGCGCGTTTTGTTCCACGCGCGCCTCAAAGAGCTGTCAGCAGCGTGAAGGGGCCCGCTAGGGCCGACGCCTGCCGGGGTTGCGGGCTGTTCGAAAGAGATACCGCGGCTCCGGAACGTAAGGGCACTGAAGGAACACGGATGGTTTTTAGTCAGTAAAAGTCTGACACTCCCTTACGCTCCACCCAGAGCGAAAGGGGTCATTAGATGATTTTCCATCCGCAAAATAAAAGGGTGAGAAATTATATGATATGAGAAGAGTGTGGTTTGCAAGATGATGTTATGACCAAGATTAAGAAAGTAATGCTTCGGTGGTTTGGTCATATGGAAAAAATGAATGAGGAAAGAGTGACAAAGCAAATTTACGTTACAGAAGTGAACGGCCGAGTCGGAAAGGGATGTCCTAGGTGAAAGTTTATCGATCAAATTGGCGATATATTGAAGACGGGCCAAATTAGGCGTACCCTTAACCAACGAGCATGTATGCGTAGGTATATGGATGTGGAGGAGGCGAGAGAGGTGTGTCGAGATCGTGCCAAATGGAAGTCTGTAGTCTCTATTTACCCCTCTGGGTGACAGGAGTGAGTGTTTACGTATTATATTTATGTATGTCTGCTTATTGTGGATCTTTTACGTAATACAACGTTTTAGTACGGACGCACTCCTAAACTAAAAAGTTGTAGATTTGAATTCTCCGTCTGTACTCCTTAGCTTTAATTTTTTCCAAATATTTGAGACTTAGTTGTGTGAGGCTAATGATTTATTATTATAGAAAGCTACCAACACGCATTGAGGTAGTTCAGCTGAATCTTCATTGTCGTCCTGAAACGAGAGAAAACCTGTGACTAGCAGAATATTTTTTGTTCTTACTTTACTTTTTATCTCGATTAGATTAAAATGCATATAATATCTCATTACCACACTATTGAGTCAATTCATACCTACGCTTCAAAATGATAATCATAGCATTTGATAATTTTTTTTATAGGTTAAGATGATAAACGAGCATACAGTCCACCTGATGGTAAGTGGTTGCTGTGGCCCATAGACATCTATATCTATCCTCGATTACGAATCAAAATGCAGATGCGTTGTCATCCGTGAGGACTTAGGTGGAATGCCTCGTTTCCAGTAAAAAGGGTCTCCGGTTCTCCCCACTCACCATACGAGACACAGCAGCATTAAGCTATAATTTGACGCTGGTATTCTGTGAGAGCGTGGTCCTTCCCCGGTCGAGCCGTCGGTCTTCGGTTATCTACAATCACCATACATTTAAACTAACTCAATATAAACCGATTTTAATAAAACAAAGACCAAATGGTACCCGAAAATACGCTTTATGATTTTCTGACAAGAGTGGCGATTATGGTCTAGTAATGGATTGTTACGGGCCGATTAGTAAGACAATTGAAAACTTTGATCAATAAAGGAAAAAATTCTTCGGAATAAAGTGAAATATGCAATTTCACTTTATTCCGAAGAAATCTATTTTAAAACATAGTGTTATTTCAGTACAATTTTATTTGCTGCACTAAAATTGAACTAATTCTCCTTAACCAGGTCACGTTGCACTCCCGCGAGTTGTATTTTGAGCACGAATATGGAATAACTGAATCGTAACTGTGAATTTATTAATTTCAATTTCAACGCGATAACTGTTTTTTTTAAAGAGTACGTGAAATTGTTATTCGCTATGACTCAACGCTCTGTATTTTTATATTTATTACAAATATCGCTTAGGATATATCTTATATTATTATGTTTATATACTGGATGACCTTTTTTACCGTCTGGAAAAAATAGGACGTAACATGTGAAAGGGTAGAAGCCTATAGCACTGATATTTTACAAAATATAAAAACGAAAATTTTGAATTAAATAAATTAATCTATCGAAATTCAAATCATATATACTTTACGAACGCCAAAAAAACAATAAATTTAGTAGGCATCTTTGACCTTGTCACTTCACAAGGTCTCAGGGCAAAAGGCAAAGTAATAGTCAAAAAAATTTTTTTCAAACGTTTAATACTACATTTTTGATATTTTTTTCAAGTTATTATAACGCTGCAAGCTGCGTCGTGCGGCGCCGACTCCGCGCTGCGCCGGACGGACGAGCCACTCGTGCTCGGCGACACCGACGAATCCGACGAGCCGCTCGCCACCGGCTAACAACACGCGCCTGTTCCAGGATTACCAGGCTTGAACATGCCAACCAAGAAAACAATAGGTGCAGAAAAAGCCGCGGATTCAATATCGGAATGCCTATCAGTGTGTGCAGAGAATAAACGGCAGGTAGCCGAGGCAAGAGGGCAACCTGTGCAGCCCCCTTTGCTTATGGCGGCTTACAACTGTAGCTCCGCAGACGATTTCTTTCTAGAGATTCTTAAAAAAATACGCTCTAGCGAGCTGGAGGCAGTGCTGCTGCTGCTGCCGTTCAGCGCGGCATGAGAGGCGCTGCGGCTGGCGGGCGCGTTGCTGGAGCGCGGGGGGCGCGCGGAAGCTGGTGAGCCGCGCAGCGCTGTTCCTGAAGCAAACTGAACACTCTAACATCCAACAAACACCCTATATATATATATATATATATATACTCTTTATATATATATATATATATATATAGGGTGTTTGTTGGATGGTCCGACAAACTGAAATGGGAGATAGATGGGTTCATTAGAAGTATATTTTCTATATAATTTTTTTCTATCTCTTACCATTTTTTTTACATGAATTTTTAAAAATTATTTGTTATTTTCCTAATTTTCTAGTATTTTGGTTCAATAACTTCTAGTATTTCTAGTTTTCTACCATTACTTTATTTTTCCTAAGTATAATGATTTGTTTAAGATTAAAAAAAGATTTAACGCCCAAAAAGCGTAAGAAAAAATACTTACGATACATTGAAAGTGTACAAACGAAAAAAATAATTATAAACCCCTAAGTTTCCAGCCCCTTAAAAATAAATAAAATTGTTGTGTAATTTCAAATGGCCTTAAAAACTTCCCTGATTTACCCTCTTTCTATCGGTATATCACATGTCAAATAAAACTTTAGATTATCTAACAAAATCATTGATAATTGAATGTGATGGCGGGGAAATTAAAAAATTGCCGCCTAGGACCCGCGGGTTACCAGCTACCAGCTCATACGAGCGCCTATTATTGTATTTAATACAAAAAATTTAATGGTTATGTGTACACTACACTAAACAGGGTCTTGCTCAATAATAATAAAAAAATAAGTACTAGTATTTTTTTACTAAATTTACAAGTTTTGTTCAAAAAGTCCTCCTACATTATGCAGACACGCTCGATGTCTTCGACCTATTTCAGTCGTTGTAGTTTTTAATCGCATTTCTTCTTTCATAATATGAAAAGCAGCATTTATTTTTCCAGTCAACTCTTCTTTTGTTTGTATTTCATTTTCGTATACAATTTCCTTTGCTCCGCCCCAGATATAAAAAATCCAGTGGAGTCAGATCTGGCGATCTCGCAGGCCATTCGATAGTACCGAGTCTACCTATCCACGTGTTCGGAAATACCGCATCTAAATATTCCCTTACGGTTCTGCGATAGTGGGCAGGGCAGCCATCGTTTTGAAATGTTATTCTTGTGTTGAGAGAACATTTTGTAAAAGATGTAAATAATTATCTCCGTTTAAATTATCAGGTAAGGTAATTACATAAGGAGGACCGATTAAATATTTTCCAATCACACCTGCCCACACGTTAACACTAAACCGTGTCTGATGCTATATTTGTCTCGTTTTACGTGGATTTTCAACCTTATCTGACCAATAATGTAAATTATGTTGATTGAAAATGCCTTCTCGTGTAAACTTTGACTCGTCGGTCCATAAAATGCTCTTCGAAAATTGATTATCGTCGACATCTTTGTGCAGTATAAAGCTGCAAAATTCTGTACGCCACGCAAAATCTTCTTCAACGATACCTAGCATAAAAAAATTAGTGTAAGTTACTTTACTCACTTTAAAATGTACGAAATATTTGATTTTCGATGGCCATTTGAAATTACTCAACATATTTATTTATAAGGGGCTGGAAACTTAAGGGCTTACAATTTTTTTCTCGTTTGTTCACTTTCAATGTGTCGTAAGTATTTTTTCTTATGCCTTTTGGGCTTTAAATCTTTCTTTTATTTTCAAAAAATCATATTTCTTAGGAAAAATAAAAAAAAATGGTAGAAAACTAGAAATAGTAGAAGTTATTGAACCAAAATACTAGAAAATTGGGATAATAACAAAAGATGTTCAAAATTCATTTAAAAAAAATGGTATGAGATAGAAAAAAATTACTAAGAAAATATGCTTCTAACGAACCCATCTATCTCCCATTTCAGTTTGTCGGACCACCCACCAAACACCCGGTAATATTTTATTTTACTTAGCTTCAATTAATAAATCAGCACTCAGCGCGGTTGATTTTACATATTACAATCATAGCATTTAACGTCCATATCATTTAGCATTAATAATTATAAAGTGTTAAGGAAACACGCTACACCGTGTACCAAACAAAATTATTTTTAAGCGATGGTAATAATAGAGTAAAAAAAAATATAACCACACGCAATATCTTAGTGAGAGCACTAGGTCATGAAATTATTATATTTTCATCGGTTCTTACGTACGTTAGCAGTAAATTATTCAAAATTTTGAATGTCAATGAAAAATGAATTAAATATATCCTATACCTTTAACGAGCAATTTGTAACTTGTATATATATATATATAATTGGAATCTCGGAAACAGCTCCAACGATTTTCATAAAATTTAGTGTACAGGGAGTTTCGGGGGCAATAAATTGATCTATCTAGGATTTATTTATAGAAAATGTGTCTTTTTGTCTGTGTTTTCAGGCAAGGAAAAATTGCTACAATAAGAAAAATATGAAGGTAATTTTTAATTTTGATGTAATAGTCGCTCGTACTGTCGTCGGTCCGACTTTTTTCCTTTTTTTTTCAAATTCCCTTCTTTTGTGAGAAAATCTATTATTTCGAGCCCCTTTTTTAGTATTTTTTAAAAATACGAAAAATTTAATTAAATGATGATGATATGACTCATGATTTTTTATTCAAATAATCAGTTCAGTTTTATCTATCAATAAGATCAAAAAAATGTTATTCATGTTTCATTAGTTTGTAATTTGTATGTAACTGTAATTTCAAAAAAAACTGAGCAAATCTCGGTCATCCAGATACTATATATATATATATATATATATATATATATATATATATATATATATATATATATATATATATATATTATAGTATTTATTCAATTCATTATTTAATTTTTTTATTTTATTCCCTTAAATCCGCGCTGCGGTTCCTTATAGCTGCAGCATACATGGATTGGTTTGAGCAGGGAAGGAACACGCTTGTTTAGAATACCAGCATGAAATAACAACAAAAGGCTGCTGTGTCGTGTGGTGTGCCGTATGGTGAGTGACGAAAATGGAGAAACGGAGACCCTTTTTACTGACATCGAATTATTCTATCTTAGTCTTCAGGGATGATAATACATTTCTCTATTTTGATTCTTAACCGATGATAGAAGTAGGTACCCATAAAGTCACATACCAACAGGTGAATGTGTGCTCGTTTGTGATCATTAACTTTATAAAAAAATGTGACAGTAGTAAGTGAAATGTCACTTCGATAGTCCTATTCTTGTTGAGGGTGCACTACGACCGTCCAACTGCAAACGTTCGCTCAAACCCCGAAGTAAACTACTTGTAGTTCATACCACAAACCATAACTTCTTATAGACTTGGTTTAGGCAGCGTGATTTCTTATATTAATTAAAAAAAGTTTTTGTAAGATTGCGAATTTTTACGATAAAAATGCACCATCTTAACCAATTTCCCCGGAAACGCAATGGTTATTACACGATATCGAGGCCCTTTTAGCGATAACTACAAAAAGGTGAGCAGTAAATAAAATTTTAATGGGTGTATTCGTTCCGCAGCTATATTTAGTCCTTCATTTCATTGAATATTTTTCATTTTCAGATTGCTTATATTTATCAAAAAAATAATGTGTTCCTAAATTTAAAGGTTTCTATAAAAATAATACATTTATGATTTTATTATTGTATCTAGTATGGGAATAAATACAGTTACACAATTAAGTTTATGTCTTTTTGTAGAAACAGTCTAATAATAATAGGTCTTTACCTATGAAATTTCTATCTTGCAGTAGTGACCATTTCAAATCAAATAACTATTTTATTGCAATATATTTGAATATTATTTGATTTTTTTTTGCATGTACTTAAAATAAAAACGCAAATGTAATTTACATATGTCAATACATGTTATTGCATATAAATTACAAATAGCGACCACACTACGCGGAAGATCGGTCGCTCCGTCGCGGACGATCGGTCGCTCCGTGGCGGACCGCTCGCTCTCGCGTCTGCTCCGTCCTCCGCGTACTGATCTTCCATCGGCGTAAGATCGTATTCCAGGTATTTGTATGCATCGCGCCACATTCGGCGGATAACTCGCGTTGACGGCGCACGCACAGGATGTTCGACACTGAACGATTTATTATCGAAGTGCAAAATAGAGTTTGCCTTAGGAACTCTAGAGAAAAGCCGAATAGAACACCAAAATGAAAATTCTAGTGATGAATTATCAAGTAATGCAAACTCACAACTAACTGTAATTGAGAATTTGAGTCCACCTCAAACTGATGAAGTTCCAGGGACCACTCAAATAAAAAGAAAATCCAAAATGACAGTCTTTCAACAGAGTTTAATTACAGCAATGAATAAAAAGCAACAATCATTTAAAGAAGTTGAAGATGCCGACATGAAATTTTTACTTCCTCAAATCAAGAGCCTGAATGAAAGACAAAATTGTAAGTTCCGAATCGAAGTGATGAATTTGATTTATAAAATCAAATATCGTAACCCATTCAAAATATCACATAATCAAACGTATTGTTACAACCATCCTTGTTATAGTACATACGAACAGTCACCTACAACATATATAGCAGATGGGCCACCGCCGGTGTACCAACCATATACTACGAATACAAACAGTACAAGTTGCTATTCGACCATACAGTCACCCGAATCTATTGAAACTCAAGTTCATCCAATTCAATCAGCTGAAACTGAAACAGCACACTCAATTGAGGAAATAGAGGAAATATTGCAGCATATAATAGGTCCAGAAATTCATTTCAATTAAAACTAAAGATTTGAATAATCATAATAAATAAGTTATATTATTTACACTATTATTATTTATCTTACTTTAACGTAACGGTCAGCCATTCTTCAGGAGATATAGCCGTTCTATGTTTTGTATTTTGCTTGGTAATATAGTCCTTCGTTAAATTCAACAATACAATACATCAAATGATTGTATGGACTTTCGATAATATTCGAATGCTTTATCTGGATTATGTCTAACAAA